CCACGTCGATATATAACATATACAACAATCAAACATCAACCCACGCCAAACTGGATGTAATTGAAAGACATCTAGAGGTCAATATACAGTCTCGAACAAAAGACAAAATACATTGTGTAAGGAAAAATATAGCGAATTTTTGAGAATTATTATTATTACATGTATATTTGCAATATTTAAAATGCATAGTTTAAAATCTTATGAGTTTTAGGTTCCACCTACCATTTTAGAAAACTGGGATTTCATTGCAGCTAGTCTATTAGATAACATTTTATAGTTTTGAATGTTTCTTCATCAGTTAACTAAAATTAGGTGGAGGTATGTTCTTATTTCTGACAGAGGGGTACTCAACCTATATCAATTTGTGCATGAAGCGATTGATAGTTGCTAGATACTGAATAATTTTACCACAAATTTGTGATAGTTTTAACCGGTGTATATACTTAAAATATGTTAATAAAGTTCATGTCTTTTTCATGACTTCTGATCCAACCATGTAGTATGGCATGTTTGTGAGATATGGTTTTGGCCAGTAGGATGTTCATGAAGGACCTGTAGTACAAAGTATATCACTGGATTGAGCTCATTGTCTAAGTGTATTGTTAAAGTGCTTTGCTTTGAGCTCAGTTCATTGTTATGCAATTCATTCTTTGTGAAATAAAGATTTGACAGACAACTCTCATGTACAAGGAATTGTCAAAGTAGTATATATCCATTCTATGTACAATGTAAGTAATAGGGAGATAAAAGCATTTTATTTAGATTTGAACCAAACATTTTTTGTCCATTAGCCAAATTAAAAAAAAAAGCACCAAATTAAAAAAAAAAAGCACAAATTCACCAAAACAAGGCTACTGGCGCTACTAGCAATATGATGCTAGGTTCTTTTGTTACACTTTATTTTTATGCCCCCCGCCATAGTGGAGGGGGCATTAAGTTTTACCCTTATCCGACTGTATGAACGTAGTACGTACGTCCCAAAATTGGTTTCCGTTCTCTAACTTTAGTTTGCCTCAACCAAATGTTATGAAACTTATACGCAATGCTTATTACCACAACACACAGATCAAGTTTGAATTTTGGTAGCATCACTTTTACCGTTCTAGAGTTAAGCCCCTTTAAAAATGGAAAAATTGTTGAATTTTTCGTTTCCGTTCTCTAATTTTAGTATGCCTCAACCAAATGTTATGAAACTTATACCCAATGCTTATTACCACAAAACACAGATCAAGTTTGAATTTTGGTGAACTGTTCTTGAGTTGTGCCCCTTTATAAATGGAAAAATTGCTAAATTTTTATTTTCTTCTAAATATCAAGTAATTTTAGAATTGGAGTTATCTTCCATTGTCCATGATAATAGTTGAATCAACTACAATCAATGCTTTATACAATGCAATGTTTAATTTTGACTTCCACTGATAAAATACAGATCAACTTGAATTTGGGTAGGGTCACTTTAACCATTATTGAGTTATGCCCCTTTATAAATCGAAAGATTGCTAAATTTTTAGTTTCCATTCTGTAACTTAAGTTTGCCCCAACCAAACATTATGAAATTTAACCTATTCACAATATTCATTACCACAAAACTAAGATCAAGTACAATTTTTTTGTTTCCGTTTTCTAACTTTAGTTTGCCACAACCAAATGTTATGAAACTTATACACAATGCTTATTACTACATAATACAGATTAAGTACGAAATTTGGTGGTGACACTTTTACCATTCTTGAGTTATGTCCCTTTATAAACATAAAAATTGCTGAATTTTTCGTTTCCGTTCTCTAACTTTAGTTTGTTTCAACCAAATGTTTTAAAACTTATACACAAACGTTCTAGAGTTATGCGTGTTTACAAATAGAAAAATTGCTGAATTTTGAGTTTCTGTTCTCTACTTAAGTTAGCCTCAACCTAATTTTATGAGACTTACACACAATGCTTATTACCACAAAACTCAGATCAAGTTCAAATTTGGGTAGCGTCCCTTTATAACTATATGATATGCTAGCGGGGGCATCACATGTGGACACTATTCACATTTTTTTACATCTGTACTGCCTACTGGCGACTCGGTCCTGAGTGTAAATGGTCATTCAGTATGTTAAGAAAAAGACCAAAATTTATAAGGCCTATCTGGCCTAATTGATTTCTAAAATATATTTCATTGTACATGTTCAACATTTATCATTCATTTGTTTATTTCTTAATTTGTGTGAATTAACAGTAAATGTTAGTTACTACACTTTCATACCATAAGAAAACTGCCTTACTGTATTGGTATCACTTATATTTGTATCCATATAACAAAAAAAACTGAAAAGAGAATACTTTTGCAATAGCTTTTCCATATTGAATACTAAAACTTTTTAGATATTTAGACATATTAAGTAGATGTTCATAATATCCACTTGACATTTTATCATATGACTTCTGTAGTTAGTTATGAGTCTTTGAAGCATGCTCACAAAGGTTCTTTTGTTGATATCATTTTCATACTGGTCAAAACTTTTTTTTTGCTTTGACCAGCTTTTGAGGAGATATTTTCAAAGAATTAATAAAAAATAACACAGAAATTCACGTTCTAGCTCATCTAGCCCCAATCATCATGTCAGGCTTTGTCATTACTAAAAAACATTAAATGTCTTCTAAACTGAGAAACAATTTCCACATTTAACCGAATTCTTTTACTTATGATACTGACAATCCCCCACAAAGTAATATAAATAGAACCATACAAATAGTAAGCAAATACATGTTCTCAAATACCATCTCCCATATAAAAAAATCAGATTAAGAAAAAAATGAACCTATTATGTGTTCTTCTCCTAGCTACAAAATTTATCCAAAATCAAAGATGTGGAACATATATATTCTATCATAATCATTTGGTAATTAATGCAATTAGTATCTCTTCCATGCTCGTGTTGAACATAAAAAACTAAATATTACATAAACAACACCCCTAATGCTCATGTTGGTTGTCATTGTGCAACACAGTTAATACATAGAAAACATAAAACATAGAACTCCTTTTGTCATATAAAACACTGTCAAACATCCAATCATACTATCCACACTGATCTGTGTCCACACTTGTTATAGTTTAAAAAAAAAATACAAAATTGACAAAAAAGGTAAAGTACAATGTCACTTACAACAATAACGACTGATAGGAGTTTGTTTGTGGATTTCAGTTATGCTAAATTGACTTATTTTACAAACATGAAAAAAAACATCACATTTTTATTGTGTCTGTCTCAAGCTATGAACCAGTAATCCAGTAGTTGTCCGTGATTGCTGATTATCATATTTGTTTTTTGTTAATCTTTGCTAATTTCTACTATAATTTTGTCCAAAAACTCATAAGATTGGTAAAAAAAAATCAATATTGAAGGGCAATAACTCTTATAAGGAGTTAACTGTAAATTTGGTCATGTTGATTTCTTTGTAGATATGCTGTTTATGTTTCTCTTTATCTGTAATAGCTTTCAAGATAATAGCCATAAATAAAAATTTAGAAAAAAACATAAAAATCGTCATTTTAGGACTTATCATGGAAGAGCAATCCTGTAAGGATTTGACTGATAATTTGATTCGTACTGATCTATTTGAAGTTGTTGTCTAGCTGATAAGTTTTGTTGTTTATTGTTTTTCTCTGTCTTTTGTCATTTTCAAGATAAAAGCCAAAAAAAAAGTGAAACTGTATATTTAAAGGTAATATATACTTATAAAATGAGTTAATTGACTGTCTTGTCATTCTGGTCACTTTATCTTTTAAAGAATCCTCTATGTAAAATAATTTTCTAGTGTTAACTATTGTGTTATTAATCAACTAACAGTGGTAGCAGAGCTAATAAAGATGGCAACAGCACCTAGTTACAAGAACCCACCAGGGTTGACCAAAGATAAGAGTTATCAACAATGGAAAAATGAGGTAAAAATGTGGCAACTCGTGACTGATCTGGACAAGAAGAAGAGAGGTTTGGCTTTAGCTTTGTCGTTACAAGGAAAACCAAGGGAAGTAGCCCTAGAAGTAGATCCCAGTGATTTAAATGTTGATGAAGGAGTAGATAAGCTAATAACTGAGTTGGACAAGCTTTTTGAGAAGGATAAAATAGATCAGGCTTATGCTGCTTATACTGTATTTGATCAGTTCCACAGAGGAGAGGATGTAAGCATGTCTGATTATATCATTGAATTTGAGCAGAGATATAATAAATGTAAGAAATATGATATGGGACTTCCAGACGCAATTCTAGCTTTTAAACTTCTGGACAATGCTGGATTAAGTCAAAGTTATCGTCAGCTGGCACTAACTGCATGTTCTGACCTTAAATTCGACACAATGAAATCTGCTTTGAATAGGATATTTGCATCAAAATCTCAAAATGGTCCCGGAGAACGAGACTCTGTTGTAACTGTTAAAGAAGAATCAGCTTTTGTCAGTGATGGCTATTATCAGAGAGGTCGAAGTTCAAGAAGAAATTTTCCTCGTAATCGAGCTGATAGATCTACCAACTTTAGTAGACTAAAGACTAAAATGAATCCAGTCTTTAATGGTAATGTCTCAAGATGTAAAATATGTGATTCCAAATTTCATTGGGTCAAGGATTGTCCTCACAAGCAGCTTGATGTAAATTTAACAGAAGATGAGCGTGATGTATTAAATGAAACTGTAAATATATAATTATTTACCTCAGCACAGGAATTTAAGCCTCTAACGGTGTTTGTCGCAGAAGCCTACAATGCCGCAGTTATTGATACTGCATGTTCTAAGACAGTATGTGGTTCTAAATGGTTGTATGAATTTGTAGAATCACTTGATCCAGGGCTTGATCAAATTACTTGTATCTTAAAAAAATAACTTTTACAAATATACGATACGATATAGTAAACATCTATTTACTCCATGGGGTACGAAATGGTAGATGCATTTGGCTCATAGGGTACAAAAAGTTTTTTGTTATCGTGGGTACGAAATGATAAATGTTGGGTACGAAATGGCAGAGGTACGAAATGGTCAAGGTACGAAATGACTTGCACCAATCGTTTCTACTCTTGAGCTTTGACTATGAAACGCAAAGACTTACGAAGAACTTTATCACAGCAGAGTGTTGCTTTTCTTAGTGACTGATGGAAGACCTTATTCCGCAAAGAACGACGTGACACACTATTTATATTATTAGAAAACATAGTTGAAGGAAATCATAAAACCCTGCAAATTAAATTTGTTAGACATGCAGAACCTCAATCAAACCGACCTTTAAGCATAGATACATTTTTGAAGCAACATGCAGTCGTTTCGTCTTCTTATCACCAGTAAAATGACTAGTTAATATACAATTTTAACACAAATTTTGAAATTCCTAACCGAGTTCAATGAAACTGTTCAAGGATTGTACGATTTGAGTCATTTTGTTTTGAAAACATCTATCTGCATGCTATAACTCTTTGTTCAGATCTATTCCAGTACAGACCCACGATTCTCTTATTTCATACCTAGAAAATGGTGCAGAAGTAAGATACTTCTTTAACATATCGAGTTGTCTACAATCCGCTTCGCCTCCATTTAAAGACATTCCCGTGTTTGGTGGTGAAATCAAATACTTCAGTGCCAGTAAAAACTCGGGGAATGATGCAGGAGAGTTGATATTCAGCAACGTTGACTACATCGACGAAAACGGTGATTATTAGCTGCAGTTCTTTCTCATATTATTAATCGCACTACTGTATCACTAGCCTGTCAACACTGTTTTTGAGTTCGAATTCCGCGCGCGGCAGGTGCGCTCTACTGCAATCTTAATTGACAAGGATTGTCAGTTTTCCTACCGAAGATCCGTGGTTCTCTCCAAGCACTCCGGCTTCCTACACTAATAAAAACTGACCCGCCACGAAATAGCACAATAGTGCTGAAAGCGGCGTAAAACACCAATCAATCAATCCTTATATTAGAATATTTCTCGTCTTTTGTATTTTACAGTAACTCATGGGGGTCCCCTAAAAAATATGAGATGTTTCTCGATTCTTTAAAAAAAAAAACCGATCTATCGAAAATCAAAATGAGAAAGAAAATATCAACCAATTTACAGCATTCAAAAAAGTCTGTTGATCGAAGACAAAGTAAACCAAGATAATGTATTCTTTATTTAAAACATAACTTTAAAAAACCATCCAGATTTTACAGACGTCAAAATGTAAGCATTGTTACATATTTAACAGAAATCATGGAAATGGTACTCATGGTAATAAACAATACGTTATTTGCACACAAATTGTGTTTTTGTTTTTTGCATTATCTACTCCTGAACTTTATAATGTAAAGAATGGAATAACACGTATTTTACGTGGAACGAAGGCTTCCAGGGTTTGACAATCAATGCAAATAAATGGAGAAAAACCTTCATATATCTGCAATACAAGAAGAAGAAAAAAAGAAAAATACCCCTGAAAAACTATAATAATATTTTAAACGGATATACTTGTTTTTGTGTATATGTCTTTTTGGGCGAGTTAAGCCATTTCAAGTGATATCTCATAGTGTGTCTTTGTATTTTGTAATGTTACACAACTATCTCATGTTAGGGTGAAGGTTGACGCGTTAAAACGTTTTAACCCGCTGCATTTTTATGCACCTGTCCTAAGTCAGGAGCCTGTTGTTCATTGGTTGTCGTTTGTTTCTCGTTTTTTATATAGATTCGACCGTTGGGTTTCCTGTTTGAATTGATTTACGCAAGTCATTTTGGGGCCCTTTATAGCTTGCTGTTCGGTTTGAGCCCAGACTCCATATTGAAGGCCGTACTTTGGCCTATAATTGTTTACTTTTTATACATTCTGACTTGGATGGAGAGTTGTCTCATTGGCACTCATACCACATCTTCTTATGTATAGCCAAAACGTTTTTCTTAGTATTCTTATTGCAATTATGAAACAGATTATTAAGGAAGTAGTCCGTTCCCTAACATCAAATCAAAGCACTGCGCCATACTATGTGTATGTTACGTGTGAAATCAATTCCGATCATTTGCCACATTTTACAGACTCACGGAATGAAATATCTACTAGTGCTGATTTCAAGAAATGTTGTAATAATTATTGCAATAATACTACATATTCTACATTTTGTTAACACATATGCAAAATCGTTTAAAACATTCAGCGAAAATACTGTTTGAAAAGTTACTTTATAACAATGTGTATTTAAGTTTTAATTAGATTTAAATAAAGAAATACATACACTGTAGATTGTCAATGATACTGTAAAGGTATTTTGGGCACAACCTGGAGTTTATATAAATATGACTGACAACATATCAGGAACATACTGTAAATGGACAGAAGGACAAGGAAGGTAAGATAGATTTTCTTCAGCATATTTGCTTTAAATAAAGACAAGCACCCTGTCAAATTTTGAAATATGTTTTTCTAATGGAAAGAAAACAAAAAATATAGAAAAATATTTAAAAAGAATCGACAATTACAATATTTACTAAATTTTTAGGTCTATAGTTTAAGCTGCTTTTTAATTTGACGGAATTTTCAATTAATCAGGAACAATTGTTTGATTTTCAAATTATATGCAATATATCTTTGTATCTTCAGAAATGTCCTGTTTTCTTCCACTGTATCCGCTAAAAGAGGCATAGTAGGTTCCCTTCGTTTTTTTCAAATTATTGGAATTTGAAAACTAAAAATTCTAAATAATTAAGGTACTAAAAAGATTTATCAACAATTTAACATAAATCAATGCAGTAAAATTGTGTTTATTGGTAAAGTTTAAAGTATTGATAGAGCGGTGCAATTTTTAATGTATTAGTATAATTAAACATTGAAGGATTCGTAACCCAAAACAATTTAAAACACAATATGCAGAGCTTTACGGTAGAACTTTGGGTTTTGGTCAAAATTTTCCTTCTTGTACATTGCAAGAGGAAGTAGTTAAAATTTGCAAAATTCTTTCCAATTTTTTGTTTTGAACGACCTGTAAGTAATTATGAAGTATTTGGTACATGTTAAAATTTTAAACAAACAAAAGTGTTTGAAACTCCAAGTTCATCCACATAGTTGTAGAAGTCTGAACTGTAGAACACATTGAACACTAAAACGAGATCGCTGCTGGACGTTAAGCTCTAAATCAAGACTTTGTTACAACTTACCAGAAAAAATTAGCATACGTTAACTATTAGTACATCGTCAACTTAGTAGTCAATGCCTTAGTACTTGCATGATTTAAAACATATTTTTCTAAGATTAGCTGTTGATAGTTTAGAAATAATTAAGAAACTAAGGTCCAACCAATTCAGACAAAGTTGACCTGCTATCGTTAAGGCTATTGTTTGAGGTCTTTTAGGTCATAATCTCATAACGTATTCCAGAGGTGTTATACATCCTTGCCTTTTAATTTTTTGTGTTTTATCGTTTCTGATTAAAAGAAATCTAGATTATACGCTAAGTAGTCAGTGCTTTGGAATTGACATGATTTATATTATGCCATTATTACATGTAACATCTCTGTTTATAACTTCAGATTTATTGAAAAAAAACTAAGGTTCCAACTCCCTCGATCAGGCAGAGTTGGTCGTAGTCGAATTTTCGAATTCATTTACGTTCCTTTCTATCATAATTTAAATTACGTTTTCCAGTGGTTTTACATTCTTATATATTGTTTTTGTCGAGCGTTCGTGATGAAGGTTAACAATTATCGTCATTTAATATTTACAGCCTATGGGTAAACCATAACGCAGAACAAAGAAAACTGACGTCATTTCCGGAAATCCAGACCATGCTGACCTCTGGTGAGGAAGTAGGATGGGTTGTGAATATTACTGAATGTCAATGTGCCTCGGGACCAGGAAACTGCTATGATGGCATATTGGGAGACACAATCAAAGGTAGTCGTTCAACAAATTTTATACAGTTAAAAATGTATTCAAATTTACAAATAACTTAGAAAACACCTGCCCTCAAATATTTATATGTTTTATCTGAATATACGAATACTATGGAAATCTATTAATGAAATAACAACCCAGCAACGCAAAACAAGATAACAAAAAGGCATGTGCAATATTAGACAAAAGCCCATTATACACGCCAAGCACCAAATTGTTCGATTTTTTTTTTCATACACGCTGTAGATAAATCCAAGACATCAAAACTTTCAAAACAATACAACCAGTAGGGTTTGATAGACATTTTAACACGTTATATTATTGAATAAAAATAGATTTGTGAACATAGTAAAACTGAAGAGTAAACCTAGTGATTTTCATATTACAGAAGTCGTATCAAAGGAGGCATACAAAACAAAAATACATTTGAATTGTATATAACCAGGTTGAAATGGTTTAAAAAAAAACGCTGGCAGTTACAAAATGCGATCTAAAAGTATTGACTTTAGCTGGAAATGTCATATTGTTCTGGATCTTTTTTGTGTTCTAAATTCTTTCTGATAACAACACTTATTTATGAAAACTTTAAGCGTGCCGTACATGAAACCTAAAACAAACATATCCCTGTCGTTGTCGTTGTAAGATACATGTATCTGTTTTCAAAGACACAAGGCTTTCTGTACACTCATGTACATAAAATACGCACATTTATCTACTCAATCTAAATTGTCATCAATAAACATGTAAACTGACGAAAGAAAGGTACTTATTATTGTATTACCTAAAAGTTTAAAAAAAGAAATCCAATGTACAGCAATACATATATTATGAAAGTAATCTAGAGTTCAGCATACGTTAATCAAATCATTCGTCAATAACCTTTCCTTTTTTCAGGTTTCAAAATGGCGAAAGACAGTTCTATACATTTCTCCAATTCCATGACAACGATCTTTCCTGTGGCCATGAACTTCATTCAACTAATTACCTTTGTTAGTGTTGATGCCAACAACACTGCCACATTTAGAGCTAGACACGTGGACCCATCAACATGGGAACAAGATGATATGGACATAATGAGTTGTCCAATAGATTCAGGATCCTCAATTGGAGACGGAGCTAAATTCTATGTGAACAACATTTAAATTTTTGTGAATTAGATTTTATAATTGTATAAGAAAAATAAACCTTTGTATGTGAAAAATGTAAACGTTCATGAAATTTAATATATTAAATATGATAGTAAAAAGTTTAGTTAGAGTAACATGTGAAGCCTAGTTAAGTGAATTGCATTATAGTGTAGTGTAAAACAAAATACATGTAGCATACAAAAATAAAGAACTGAAGGTACGCCTACATAGTATAAGTATAACACAAAAACGTACAAACTATAACGTCTCTAAAGTGAAAATGGTTGAATTTCGAACTAATAGCTGTTTGTCAAGGGCAGATGAACAGAGAATAAAGTGTCTTTTTTATTTACTGTATAAAAATACAGAATGATTCATGCTATTCGAAACATTAAGGTTTTTCTACCCCGGGCATATATTGTCTTTGTCGTATTTGGAACAACTTTTCGAAAGAATGGCTTTTTAAAGCATTTCATATTCATTTCTTTGATGTGGCCTTCCAACTGTTTTGACTCGAGCGCCACTGATGAGTCATGTGTTGACAAAGCGCGCGTCTGGCATACCAAATGATAGGCCCGGGTATCTTTGATAAGATTTTAAAGTGTTTATCTATGAAGTCTGAGATGATGTTATTTCCACAGGGAAAAATACTGTAAGATCAGTAATTATTGCGAAGTTTTTATAAATGCGAATAATGCGACTGAATGAGTATCGCAATAAAAAGAAATCGCATTCTGATATCTAATAGCTATAAATGTATGCGAATTTGTCTGTAATCGCAATTATTATAATTATTCTAGCATTTTATTCCATTCTTCACAATGCGCAATTATAATAACAGCACGCAATAATTTCTGAATTAACAGTATTTATAATTAGAATCCTAGTCGTCATAAGATGTAAACAATAAACTGGCAATATAGTTATTATCCAGAAAAAGATGCTACATGTATTTATCTTCTTTAATAATAAAGAGGAGTTTCAATATTGTATGAAAATTAAAAGGCACAGACACAATTCGTCTTTTGATACGGAAGTCTTTTTTTAGGCAAAAACAATTTTTTCGACTTTAGTCATAAGCAAACTATATTTTTTTTCAACAGGATCAAGATTTTTTTTGGGAAACTGCAAGTTGAATTAATTCCCCCACCCCCTTATTTTCAATGAAAAGAAACTATAATCTCAAGAAATTTTTAATCAAACAATGTATCTAAAAATATAACTATCCCCGCAAAAATGACCAACCGGTTCCTTAGCCGGATACAATAAAACATTGAAACAAAAAGTGAACAAAAACGTATTGCATGGAAATATATTTATAATACAACCCATGGATGACAAATATTCATTACGCGGATATCCGAATTGAATGTTTATCCAAAGAGGGGGCACTGTTACAGTATACGTGTATTAATAAATTTTTACATGTATACATTTCCTTTTAAGTAAAAAAAAAAAAAAAGAAAAAGAAAGAAAAAGTATAATATGCATAAGAAACGTCCAAAGTATAATGAGTTTTAAAACATTTGCAACCGGAAATGAGGATCAAGTTTATATATCCTTCACAACAGGACAGGAAAAAATGTTAAACCAACACCGTGCATGACGTCAACCTAGTCATGTAAAACAAATCAGCAACACGTAGAGTTACTTACATTATCACTATTATATGTGACAAATATACTTTTTAGCACAAGTTAAACACTAAGTATAACCTGGTTGCAAATTGCTAAACCACTAATTACTTGTTGTTTTTATCACATTTAATCTGTTGTATTTTATTAAAACTATTTATTTCAATATTTGTTCATACAATTTTATATTTAAATCTAAAATTGTTGGCATAGATAGAATAAACTGCTCATTGTTAGTTTATCTTGTTTAGTTGAAATACTTGTACTTGATATACATATATGCCAGTTCTTATGCGTTTTCGTGTAATAAAGGGATGATTGATTGATTGATAGAAGTGAGGCGAAAGATACCAAAGGGACATTCAAACTCATCAAGTCGAAAATAAACTGACAACGCCATCGCTAAAAAAGAAAAAAACCAACAGACAAACAAACAAACAACAGTACACAAAACACAACATAGGGGTGATCTTAGGTGCTCCGGAAGGGTAAGCAGATCCAGCTCCACAGTTTAGGTGGTAGCTGTTTAACACCACTTTCAGCAGTATTTTGGTATTTCGTGAAAGTCAATTTTTATTGGTGGAGGAAGCTGGAGTGCCCGGAGGGAACCATCGACCATCGGTAGGAAAACAGGCTAGTGATTCAGTAGTTCGACTACTTGTTTTCCTCGACTACTCGGCAACCTAATTTTGTTATTGATTGTGATTTTTGCAACAAAAAAACTACCAGGTTATTCAATAAAACAGGAAAAAATAAACTTGAAATTATGATATAGTTTTATATACACTTGAAAATATATTTACACGATTCAATTTTTTTCCAGGAGTTACGCCCCTTTGAACTTGTTTGCCCAATATACTACTGCAACCTTTTGTCATCGCAACTCCTCTCAAACCACACAGCAGAATTTCATGAAACCTTTTCAGATAATAAGGACATTCTACGTAGATGTTCATATCGATAGGAAATTACGATTCAATTTTTTTTCCAGGAGTTACGCCCCTTTGAACTTATTTGCCCAATATACTACTGCAACCTTTTGTCATCGCAACTCCTCTCAAACCACACAGCAGAATTTCATGAAACTGTGTAGATAATAAGGACATACTATGTAGATGTGCATTTTGACAGGAAATTATGATTCAATTTTTTTTCTTCTGATACAATTTTTTTTTCTTACACTTATTTTATTTCTCCAATGACAATGTGGGGACGTGGGGTATGTGAGCACACTCACTAAGATTCTTTAATTAGTCATGCCCGATTAACTTTTCGTTAATTGAACCTCAACTTAAAGACCTACACCGGGTTAATTAGTTCGAGGTACAATAAATAAAGAAGAGAGATTCTTTATGAAATGAGATCGTCCCAGGTATCTTAGATAATTGTTTTGCGTTGAAAAACAATGTAAAATGCACGAACAGGTTTGTAAGCTACTGTAAATCCCTCCTCTATCAGGAGAACCTGGAATTCTTCCAGTAGTTGTTTTATATCTATGTTACATATAGTACATTATTTAACAAGTCTGTTTTCTTCCACCTGAATACCACTATTATTTTTTGTGAATTAGTTAAAACATTAAATTTAGTTTATAGTAAGATAATGTATTAAGAAAACAAAGACGGGTTCAAACAGAAAGATTTTGAAAGCTGAGAAAACTGTTCACCTTACAATCAGCATGACTTCATCAGATGACAATACGAATATTAAAAATCCTGGCAAAAATCTGGCGTATATACTTTAAATCAGTCACGGACCCGGAAAGAAAATGAGCTCCAATAATTATCGTTGCTGTAATTATGGAACAGGCAATGAGAAAAGCAAAACACCCAGGATTATCTTCATCAGTATACTTCTATATGCCAAATCTGCATTTGATGTACTAGTGCATATTAAATTTACGATGTTCAGATTATACCACCTGGGAATACAAGACCGTCAGCGGACCTTGACTAATTACCTAATACATTCAAAGAAAAACATATGTTGCTATATCAACTTGAACCTCTTTAAGAGCTCTAATCAAAAATGAAAATTTCAAACCCCTTTCTCATCCCAGTCATTTAGTGCAAAAATTAAAACTTCTAAGAAGGTTAGGCTGTCGTATATGAAATAATTGTCCATAAGGCGTACATTTCAAAAAATGAAATTTACGTTCCCCAAAAATTGTTTGGGTGGGGTCATTGAGTGCAAAAGAAATTGTCTTTTAAGGTAAGGTTGTTGTATATCAATTGATAGTCCATAATGTGTACATTTCAAATATCAAATTCCTTTCCTCAAAAAATGAGTTGGATTGGGCTATTAAGTGCAAAAAGAAAGCTTTAGAACATGGTATTGTCGCAAAACAAATGAAAAGTCATCAAGTCTACATTACAAATATCATACTACCGATCTAGAAAATTTAGGTGGATAGGGCCATTACGTGCGAAAAGTGAAAAGTTTAAGAAGGTACATTGTATGCTCGTAGCATATCAAATGGAAGGTCGGAAAGAGTGCATTACAAATAGCAGACATTAAAGTTAAAGACCTTTCAATTGTTTTACAAACAATTGAAATACTAGTTTTCTTATGTAGTTTGAATTCTGTTTTTGAAAAAGGCCTAGTTTTCTTTATATAAAAGAAAGTTTTACAAATGTAAAATATTATAAAAGCATAATTATATACAGTACATTTAATATGTTAAAAAATCTATAATACATGAAACATCTTGCGTGCGATCCTTCACATCCTATTTTTCTGTGTGCGATTTTAAATACTTTTTAGTTATTGTTTTACACTCTTTCGGTTCTGTTAATTTTTTTGTTAACAACCAAATTAAAATCGCATGTTTCCGCATTATTAGTTAGTTCTTCAATAGTCACATCCATATCATTAATGTTCCACCATTTTTTATCCTCTCTTATTACCTTGTTGAAATTCTTCCTAAAAATCCCCTTTTCACTTACTGTCCCACTGTCCTGTAGTTGGAGTGATTCCCGACCGTCGGCGTTGGAATATCTTTTAACTAGTTCACCTACATCTTGCTTGGTAGCTGGTGTAAATAGTATTTTAGTTTTCATTAGAATCCATGGTACGACTCCTCCGGCAAGCGTGGCTAATAACTGGTTGTTGAAAGATACGCTGTAGGAATCTCCAAACGCTAATACGACAAGCGTCACGAATATCAAGAATATAAAAATTATGCCAAATCGCCTCATTGCTACAAGGAAGTGTTCACTCAATGGTCCTGGGCCGTCTGGTTCAATCTTACAAACTTTAAAGAAAAACTTTTTCGTTATGTATTGTTTATCAAACTGATCTAGCAATAAAATGACGCCTTTTGTTCTGAATTTGGGAACTTCATCATTGTTACCAATTACAATTTGTCTGTTATTTTTATGC